GAAATAGTCATGAAATCCATTGTGAACTTGGATTCCCCTATGGTATCACCACCTCCAGACTATCCTGGAGAATTTTTTAAAGGTAACTTAAAAATATTCATTACAATGACAAAGATATACTCAAACCTTTTCTAACAGTTCTAACATTTGCTGTCATTTTAGTTTTTCCTTTGGACATAAATTGTATAAAACTTTCTAATTAATGGTTACTAGTACATGTAAGTGTCTTATTTTAAATAGCTTTATTAAAACAGATTATTCAAATGAAGGTCCTCTTAACTCTTGATACAGTGGAAGCATGTTTGTCTATTAATAGATTTAATAGAGAAAAGTCGTTTTAGTACATTCAGTAAAATCACTTTGCCAAATAGGTTTAAAATTTTATTTTAAAGTTGAAAAAGTCCCTAGGTAAATAATTTGTGAGGGTTGATTGGTGGGAATGGGAAGTTTGGATGAAATAAAATTGGCCATGAATTCACAGTTGTTTAAACTGGGTGAGATACATGTGGCTCACAGATTAATTAATTTATTTATTTATTTTTGAGACTGCCTTGCACTGTCACTTGGGCTAGAGTGCAGTGGTGTGATCTCAGCTCACTGCAACCTCCACCTCCTGGGTTCAGGTGATCCTCCTGCCTCAGCCTCCCAAGTAGCTGAGATTACAGGCACCCCGCACCACGCCTAGCTAATTTTTTGTATTTTCAGTAGAGATGGGGATTTACTGTGTTGGCCAGGCTGGTCTCAAACTCCTGATCTCATGATTCACCTGCCTCAGCCTCCAAAAGTACTGGCATTACAGGTGTGAGTCACCATGCCTGGCCGGAAATGTTCATATTTTTTGAAAAGTACAGGATTCGTAATATGGATCTGAGAGTTTTTATTTTATTTTTATTTTACTACCTAAGACTTTTTATATTTACAGTACAAATCTTGTATGTGCAATATCTGTAGAATAGATTATAACCTACCCCCTAAGTGTAAGTCTAGATGAATTTGGTAGTCCAGGGAAACTGAATATATTTTGTGCAATTAGTAGTTGTAAGATATGGAGACAGAGTCTTGCCCTGTCGCCCAGGCTGGAGTGGTGTGATCTCATCTCACTGCACCCTCCGAGACCAAGTTCAAAGGATTCTCCTGCCTCAGCCTCCCAAGTAGCTGGGATTACAGGTGCCTGCCACCATGCCTGGCTCATTTTTGTATTTCTATAGAGATGGGGTTTCGCCATGTTGGCCAGGCTGGTCTTGAAATCCTGGCCTCATGTGATCTGCCCACCTTAGCCTCCCACAATGCTGAGATTATATATATGAGCCACCACACCCAGATGGAGTTAGCATTTTTCACTAGAAAATCCTTTTGGTACTTTAGCACATACTGATATGTGTTGTTAACAGTTAATATTGACAGACTAGTTAGGGGTGTTCATCATTACTCCTGGCTTTCTACAAAAGCAATAAAATCTTAACCCTACACCTTCTCTCCTTTCGATCATAAGAGAGAGTGTCAAAAACAATTGGGCGTGGTGGCTCATGCCTGTAATCCCAGCACTTTGGGAGGCTGAGGTGTGAGGATTGCTTAAGCCTTGGAGGTGGAGGCTATAGTGAGCTGTGATGACACCACTGCATTCCAGCCTGGGTGACAGAGACCCTGTCTCCGAAAAAAATAAATCAAGACTCCTCGATTTATTTCTAACTTCTTAAAATTTTACGTTATGGCTAGGCACAGCGGCTCACACCTGTGACCTCAGCACTTTTGGAGGCCAAGGAAGGTGGATCATTTAAGCTCAGGAGATCAAGACCAGCCTGGGCAACACAGTGAAAGCCCATCTCTAAAAAAATAGAAAAACGTTAGCCAGGCACTGTTGTGCACACCTATATTCCCAGCTACTCGGGAAGCTGAGGTGGGACAATCCTTGAGCCTGAGAAGCAGAGGTAACAGTGAGCCAAGATGATGCCATTGCACTCCAGCCTGAGGAACAGAATGAGACCCTATCTCAAAAAAATAGATAGATAGATAGATAGATAGATAGATAGATTACTTATTTATTATAAGTAATGCAAATAATCTCACAGCTGGGCGAGGTGGCTCAAGCCTATAATCCCAGCACTCTGGGAGGCCAAGGCAGACAGATCACCTGAGGTTGGGAGTTTGAGACCAGCCTGGCCAACATGGCGAAACCCTATCTCTACTTAAAATACAAAAATTAGCCAGGTGTGGTGGCATGCACCTATAGTGCCAGCTACTTGGGAGGCTGAGGCAGGAGAATCACTTGAACTCAGGAGGCAGAGGTTGCAGTTGCATTGAGCCGAGATCTCACCACTGCACTCCAGCCTGAGTGACAGAGCAAGACTGTCTCAAGAAAAAAAGGAAAGAAAAGAATCTAAAAGTAGATAATGAAGAGAATTAATAATATGGCCCCCATAATCCTTCTTCCACCCTCACTTTCCTAGGTCACAGATGACAGTGTAAACAGGGGCAGTCCTTTCCACATTTTCTCAGTATTTATCTAAAACACCAACGGTTGGTTTTTTTTTTTAATGGCATGATGTTACTTACAACATACTTTTCTCACTTAACGATACGTTGCAGACATTCCTTGTAATTTATGAGTCAAAATTGATCCTGTTCTTACAGATGTTCGACAAGGACTGATAGGAGTTGGTCTGATAAATGTAGAGGATCGCTCGGGAATTCTTACTCTCGATAAAGGTACTACTATTAACTTTGTGTAGGCGTGTAACTGTTGCTATAGTATTAAAGTTCATTATGATATATGCTTTCCAGCTGTAGGGGATGCTTCATGTTCCTGAAACATTCTGGGTGATTTTGGCTGTTGTAGGGTACTCATAAGAGATCCATAAATAGAGCAGCGGTTTTCAACACTGGCTGCTAATATAATGAGCTCTCAAGCTTTTAAATATTACTGAAGTGGGCAGAGCATGGTGACTCACGCCTGTAATCTCAGCAGTTTGGGAGGCCGAGGCAGGCGGATCATGACGTCAAGAGTTTGAGACCAGCCTGGCTAACATGGTGAAACCCCTCTCTACTGAAAATACCAAAGAAAATTAGCCAGGTGTGGTGACAGGTGCCTATAATTCCAGCTACTCTGGAGGCTGAGGCAGGAGAATTGCTTGAACCCGGGAAGGTGTAAATTGGAGTAAGCCGAGGTCGCGCCATTGTACTCTAGCCTGGGCAACAAGAGGGAGACTATGCCTTTAAAAAAAAAATTTAGTGGCCGGGCACTGTGGCTCATGCCTGTAATCCTAGCACTTTGGGAGGCCGAGGTGGGTGGATCACCTGAGGTCAGGAGTTCAAGACCAGCCTGGCCGTTGTGGTGAAACCCCACCTTAAAAAAAAAAGAAAAGAAAAAAAAAATTTACTGAAGTCAGGAATGGTACTCAGACACTGGTAGCAAAGCTCCAGACTAATTGTGCAGCTACAGTTGAGAATTTAGTATTA